ATATTTGAAATATTATTTGATGAACGAAATGCTGAATGAATTGGTGTTCGACCATTTTCATCTTTTATATTAACACCAAATCTAATAAAATAAAACATTTAAAAAAAACTAATTCATTATATATATATATTTGTTTTTGTATTTTACACTTACACAAATTTAATATTCGATAAAAGCATTAAACAAATATGTAATTGTTGATGACGAGCAGCATGATGTAATGGTGAAAGACCAGTATCAACATCAAGTCGATCAACTATTTGACTTGCATGTTCAGCACAACTTGACATTTGTCGACTATATTCAATAAATAGACTTAAACGATATATATCACCTTCACGACAAATCTATAAACAATTAACATGATTAAAGAATAAAAAACTTTGTCAAATATACATACTTCACTTATTAAACTTGTATTCCAATTATAAACTTCTGGAATTATAAATGGTATGACTTCTTCATCAGTTTGAATAGTTGTTAAAGGAGTTTCTTCTGTAATAATTTCTTCATCAATGACAGATAGTGATGTATTCGATAATAGATTTTGCTGGTTTTCATGAACATCCATAATATAAAGTTGTTAGCCTTCTTTATATGAAATTTTTGTTAAGTTGTGTTCCCTTTTTTTTTTTTATCTTCAAATAACTGACGTTATCAGATTTCTTTTTTTTTTAATGATAGAAGTATAATATAAGAATTTGTGTATGACACAGGAGAAGAATAAAAAATTTTGTTCTTTCGTATTACATTACAATATGGTTTATTCTTCTTTTTTTTATTTCATACCGAATAAATTGAAACAACTCTATTCTAAAAGAATAATTTTATTATATTGAAAATCAACTTTTAAATTTACATTAATGTTTAAGTATCACTGAAAATTATGGTTTTTATACTACTTTTCTTCAATATGATAGTATTATTGATCATATTCGAACAAAAAACAAACTTTCATGTAAAAAATAGCACTTTCAACGACAAAGGAGAACAGTTCGAAGTATCTTGATAGTGAGACATTAGGTAGATTATGAAGGGTGTGGGTTCTATTTTTTAATAATTGACAGACGAAAAATATCATATTCAAAATTGATATATCTGTTAGCGTTCAATATTAAATCCACATAGATCAATTTTGGATCCATTATAGGATGCAGACATCAATTAAAGCTACTCTCCGATTGATTACTTAGAAAACATTCAATTCGAATATTCGCTTGAAAATTTTAAGCAAATATCAGATTAATCTTTCCAAACATCAAATAAAGTAGCAAATCAGGTAGAATTTTTAAAATACCAGAAATATGTTCTAAGACTATTCGAGAACGATGATTTTCATGTCATTATTTGATTGTAACAAAAAATTAATCTCAAGTATTTTTTTCAATGACAAATAGGGTTCTGCCACAACGAAACATTTCGTGAATAGCACTGATATTGTTTAAGATGGTATACAATTTTCAACATAGTAATTCTTTTTATCATTTTGACTTTGCACTTTTTCTTGAGCATAAACATCAAAGGAAGCTTTCGAAAATCATAAATTACAGGTAAAACAACAGCTTGCAAATCATTCATAAAACCGAATTAACCGTTTAAAAGTCTACTTGCCCCATCATACCAGATAGGTTCACAAGTAACATTTGCTTTCATATTATTTGATTTCGAAATCTAGTGTTTATGAGCCCTAAATAATACAAAGCAAACACCAGTTTTATCCCACTTCATTTTTTTGCAAAACTTCACACAAGTAAAAAAATCTAATCTACCATCGTGAATTCCCATCCAACAATCATTCCTTTTGCCTCCGATCAATAACACCATGGCTTCATAGATATGTGTACAACACACCAATACTACTAATGATTACTACCATTTGTATCACAGGTGAAAAGTTTTTACTACCAACATGTTTCGAAGAATGAAATATTAGTGATAATCAAATCTGCACACTTACTAACATCAATCTCGTATTCTGTAAACTCGACAACGCGTCACTACTGTTCGTTTTAAAACACTCATTTCATTTGTACAAGTAAGAACCAAACAAATATCATGCATCATTCGATTACTATTAAATATCACCGTATCGTTGAATGAATCGGTACTCATCGATATCACTATTGTAGCTCAATTTATTTGCAACTGTCATTAAATACATCATAAGATGACTCAGACAAGTTTTTCATGTGCCTCGCACAGCAGTGATTTTTTTCTAAATCGTCTACAAAAAACTTCTTTTTTTTTCAGTACAAAGTCTAGGTAGTATAATACACAGTGAAATATCTTTACTGTTAGAATATAATAAATGAACGTTTGTCGTCATTTTAACTGAACACAATCATGACTTATAATTAGAAGCCGTCGTGTTTGTCCATAACCTAGATCCGGTCGATTCTGATATTCACCCATCCGATCATACTTTTAAGGTAATAACCAATTATGACTTGATTATTATAATGTCATTACGATTATCTGAGATCGGCACAAGGTGTGTTAATCATAGAATATAAATAATTGCTATAAAAAGTATGTTGCATATTCAGAACGACTATCAGATCCACACTAAAAAGTTTTGTGGAAATTAGGCTTACGGTGCGGACCTGGATCCGAAAAGTTCGATCAATCGAATCTAGATATTTTCGAACTGATGGACTTTACTCGTAATAACTTGTGAATACCTTATTCATTGTCCATTTATTTATTTAATTTACTTATTCGTTTCCTGAATTGACTCGAAGCATTTTCTAATCGATTGTTATTCTCTTATCTGAATCGGTTCATCAAAATTCATTCAAAAATATTCTAACACAAAAATACGTCAGTGAAGTTAGCGGCAGATTCGACTTTTTTCAGCGAACATTCGCATATTAACCTGTGTCTAAGCAACTTATCAGTGTGTCTTATAGAACTCGACGAGCTCTATCCAATGGTACCATCAGATTTTCTATAGACCAAAGTATGGCTCAGAGAATTTCAAAATATTGTATTTTCTTAATGAAACTCTGGCAATATATTCGAGTAAAAGCTGCCCATATTCACTGTGTCAATTCTGAAAATACTTGTGTCCGATGCAACTCGATGCGCTCTATCCAATGGTATACTCAGATCTTCGATAGCTCAAAGTATCAGTTTTGACTGACAGATGGCCCTAAAGAAAATCTGGAAATCATACTTTGAGCTATCTTTGAGCTATCTTTGAGCTATCGAAGATCTGAGTATACCATTGGATAGAGCTCATCGAGTTGCATCGGACACAAGTATTTTCAGAATTGACACAGTGAATATGGGCAGCTTTTACTCGAATATATTGCCAGAGTTTCATTAAGAAAATACAGTATTTTGAAATTCTCTGAGCCATACTTTGGCCTATAGAAAATCTGATTGTACCATTGGATAGAGCTCGTCGAGTTCTATAAGACACACTGATAAGTTACTTAGACACAGGTTAATATGCGAATGTTCGCTGAAAAAAGTCGAATCTGACGCTAACTTCACTGACGTCACAAAAATAGCATTGTTTTTTCAAAATGTTAGTATTTTCTTTTTATATCTCTTCTTCACAGATCCAAACTACAATAAATTAATAAATGCTTCGTATAGTCATGTTATTACGGTATATATAATATTTTTGTCCTCTTATGCAAAAGAAAAATACAGCGATCGTTACAATCACCCAAAACCTACAAAAAGTAGACTTGTTTGAATCTTTATCCCAAACTATTTATCAATTAACATGCGATGCAAAAGTCTTGGAAAAAATGTCAACCTATGCTAGACCATATTGCCAGCTTCTAAATCAGTCAAATTTTTTTTTCTTAGAAAGAGCAAAGTCTGAACTACAAGTTTTGTACCAGAGTTGTTTTTCCTGAACGAATCTACCAAGCAAGAAAAGCTAAAAGCTAAACACCTCTAAAAAAGTTCTTGCAACGTTTTTGTAATTTGAAAAGTTTCTACTTCTCAACTATCTTGAGCTACGTGGATCGAATTCTAACAAAAAATACACCAAAATGTGACACATTGAAAGTTATATCGATATCAGCTTTGGTACATTTTTTTAATATTAGCTCTTGACTCCTTAATGAAAAAAATAGGAAATTGAAATTTTCGTAAAAATAGTCTTTTGCAAGAGTTATCTATTTGGAACCAGATCAACTACAGTTTCGAGAAACTATGTGTGAATTGAAATCTTTGCATGTTTTTTGTTTCAAATACGTTAGATCCTAGAAACTTAGCAGAAAAAAGGATTCAAAAAACCTCATTTACTGTTCCAGCACGGTCAGCTAGTAACAAAGACCAAACTGCACAGTGTCATCCAGAAAGAGGTATATTTTTCGAAAGAAACCAAGACTAAATTTAACTTCGAATCTACCATCGGAAAGAGCACTCTTTGTGCTACAAAATCATCATTACACGTGCGTTTTCATTTTGCTTTTAATATAAAAAAATGAGAATAAAATAAAAAATGATATCGCGCGAAGGTGAAGTTGCAAGAACTTTTTTAGAGGTGTTTAGCTTTTAGCTTTTCTTGCTTGGTAGATTCGTTCAGGAAAAATAAGTCTGGTACAAAATTTGTAGTTCAGACTTTGCTCTCTCCAACAAAAAAAAATTTGATTGGTTTAGAAGCTGGCAATATGGTCTAGCATAGGTTGACATTTTTTCCAAGACTTTTGCATCGCATGTTAGTTCTTTCAATAAAATCATATATTCATAATTATCCTACTATAATCAAGTAAAATAATACGTTGAAAATATCTTGATAGAGAATTGATCAAAAAAACATTACCATTCAATTCATTCTTTATTTTCATATTAAAATATTAAAAACACTAATGTACATATCACAGTGATTTATATTCAATGTGCCATCTGTAGGCTAGCTCTCTTATCCCATTGCTTGAATAACACAATCATATGAATGATGATGCTCGAATCAGTAATAGTTTTCTTTTACGTGGTACGTTACATATATATATATATATTAGAAGTACGAATTATTTTTATGTTTTTAATGGCACTGTATGTTCATTTACTTCAGGTATATTTATTGTTTTATAACTGAAATATGTTTTGATTAAATATGCAACAACGACGATTACCATAATTCCAACTGAAATACAACCAATAGTAATAATAATCTTTAAATGTTCATTCAATACTTGGTCTTCAGGTGGATTCGAGAAACTATTATTATTATTTGTATTATTTTTATTTGTATTGAATTGATCTGTTTCTGTAATAATAGCAACTACATGATGATTTGAATTAGATTTATGAATAAATTTTGGTGAAAATTTGTTTGTATCGATCGAAATTGAACAAGTAAAGTATAAAATAAGAAGCAATATAGTATAGAATTGAAACATAATGCCTACAATAAAAGATGACCTTTATTTACAATGATTCATGCACAGATGGGTATGTGTTTATGCCAAATACACTATTACGACTTACAATTATAACGAATAGACTGTGAATAGCAAATCGATTCGTTTTTTACTGTTATGATGTGCGTGTGTGTGTGTGTGTGCGTATTTGCTTCTCTATTCTTTCGTCTTTGTAGGAGAGCTCTCAAAATAAAAGCGATAAGTGAGAAGAAAAAGAAACAAATTTTGTGTAAAATTTGAATATTCAAATATCTCATCGATATAATACGTAAAAATAAAATTACTTGTAAATTTTTACATTTATCATATTCAATCATTTTCATATTAGACAAATTAAAACTTTAGTAGAGACAAATCTGTATGAAGTCTTTATTTAAAATATTTTGTTACGAAATTATCATAATTATGTTTATTTGTATTTAAATTTAATTGTTTTCGTTGAATTCACCTCGTCTTAAGCGAAATCATTTGTTGTGATGAATGAGAGTATTACTAATTGTCAATTCCAATATCTCTTCATTGTTATTGATGTAACATTATGTCAAAGCAATCTCTATTGGGAAGCAGAAACTACAACCTCTTAATTGTACTTTGGATTGATTCTACTATTCTCTACTGACTGAGATCCTCTCTACTGGTTCTGATATTTTACATCCGTTGTCATTCTATAACTCTTCTCTTATTAAACATTGTTCTTGAACTGACAGTTACCTCTCAATTAATTGTACTATTTTCTCTCTAGATAACAATAACTTATATTTCTCAAACACGAGTTTCAGTTTTGAAGTCATTATTGTAAAATTAAATTGTTTTCAATTTATTATTGTAATACTACTAGTACTACTACTACGTAGTGTACATTAAATTATAAAATATTTTTGTATTATTCTTAAACATTTTAAAATTACTAGAAGCTTATTGCTTAGTTTCAAAAAAACAAGATTTGCCATTCGGCTACTGTTATTGATGAAAGATATTATCAAGAGCAATTCGAAAAGTCAAAATGTCTTTGAAAAAAATTAAGACACTTCAGAACCATCGTCTTGATAGATATTTAGTTAGAGAATGACCAGATATAAAAGACTTAGCTTACAATTAGACATGTAAGCCGATCCATTGACCAGCAGCGGCAGCTTAAATTTTTCGATGACTTTTTAAAAATTTCTGAATTTCGAGAAGTTTTGAAATGAAAAGAAAAAGTAGAGAATTTATTAACAAGAACACCTCTACAAGACTGATTTTTGACATCGGAAATTTTCAAAATTCAAATATTTATTTTTGTACCGCGGTGGCGGCGGCTCATCGAATCAGCTGACATCTCTACTCACAATTGTTGAAGTTTCCATTCTTCATGCACTAACTACCTTCCGAAAATGTCAGACAGATAAATACACTGCCAAATCAGGCACTAGTCTTATAGATTTTTATAAGATTAAACAATAACTCAGATGGTGTTGATATTCTAATCTCCTAGTTATTCACCTATAGTATCTCTTTAATAACTAAAGACATAATATTTGATTAAACTATAATAACACACGCTCATCATTCATATTCGAAAGTAAATATATAATTCATAGACAAGAACTGTTAGTCGCAAATTTTACTTTATTTCTTTGATTTTACTTAATACATTTTGAGTAAATTTATACTCATCGTCAATGTAACTCTTTTTTTTTGTTGCATATATCTATACATTAGTCTAATAAAATACCGTCATTTTCATCTCATATTACTTCATGTCTACGTATATATATATATATATATATGTATGTATGCCTCTTAAATTTGCATTGATAAGTAGAATATATTAATCAATATATTTCTTCTTGTTCTTGATCTGCTTTTTTAATGATGTTTTAAATTGTTGGATGGATGAACAAAACAAAACAGACAAAAAAAAAATTAGAACAAATAGTTAACAAAAATGTGCGTATTTATGAAGGTAGAAATCGAAAAGAACATGACATTAAGTTAGTTTTCTTGTTTTGGTTTTGAATGAAGAGAAAAGTTTCTATTCGATAATAATTTGTTTTTCTTGTTTTCCGTGGCACAAGAGAAAAAAAAACAAAAAAAAAAGAAAATGTTAGAAAACAACTGTTATATGTTTTTAAAACTGATATTCGTTAATGACCAATCATTTTGAATTTGATACGTCATCAAAATTTTCCACAAGATCTTTACAAATAAAACAACATATGAATGATTATATTAAAATCAAATTATTTATTAACATACCAGGAACTTCATCATCACCTTCTTGTTCATTTGTTGTTCCAGTTTGTCCATCACCTGGTTGTTGTTGTTCACCATGTGAACCAAGCTTACGTCGACCGAGTTCACTTGCTAAACCTGCATCAGCTGACATGCCCATTTGTGACATAATTGTCGGTAACATATCTTGTAGAGCTACAATATAAAGTATAAAAAGAAATCTTAAAGTAAAATTAAATTATATATTCATACATTTTGTATCCGAAGCACCACTAATAGCAAATGTATTTGAACCAAGTGATGCTTGTACTTTAGGATTAGCAAAATGAATTACTTCACCATTATCTTTGAATAGATTGACCTATTAAATATCATAAATAAAGATTATAATTTTGATATGAATATGATTTTAATGTAAATTATGAAATTTTAATATAGTTAAAGATTGAAGAATAATCTTCACAATTTTTTATTTGTAATATTCAAAAAAGAATTCTTCACGAAAGAAATAATTATACAAACCTCTTCAATGCCTGGAATATTATTTGCAGCAAGTTTTTTTAATGAACTTTGAAGTTTTTTATCATCTACATTAGCTGGTCGATGAATAATTTTCTTCTTGCGACGAGCTGTACCCTAATAATATTTATATCAAAAAATTTTTTTTATTTATAATCATATCACAAAAATTTTTAGACAAACCTTGCCACCGATTTTAATAGCATTAGCACTTTCGGCAAGTTCTTTTAATTTCTTTTGATTCATTTGAAATACTGGGGTTGCCTCACTTGACATTGTTTTCTGTTCGGAGGACATTAATAATACTTTGATCTTTAATCTGAAATAGAATTATAATTTTTTTTTTTTCGTTTCCCTATGATTATTGAGATTATTCAAAAGACAAACAGAAAAAACAAGAAATAATACACAATTATATTGCAAAGACAAAACAAACACTGTTGTCCAACATCGTATAACTAATAATACAATATAATATATGCAAATATTTTGAAAGCTCAAACTAGGAATGAAAATCAGCAGGATTAAAAATGAAAATTTTATCTGACACCTGCTGTATCGATAAGGCAATAAAAAACAAACAAACAATTTTTCTAAGATTTTCTAGATGTTGTTGTTGATGTTATTTGTAAAGCATGTTTAGCTTTACGTTTAAAAAAACAACATGTTGCTTCTGATGATTGTCCAATAAATGATGAATATTGTTCTTTATTACAATTATTTACATTTGTTGAAGAATTTGATGTTGTTCGTACAGGTATTAAACTATGTCGTTTAGCTGGTATAGGTCGTTGATTTTCCATAGTTGAACGTAATGATGGTAAAATAACAGGAGTTTTTGTTGTACTTGCATTTGAAACTGTTGTTTTTGAACCACCATTTAATGTTACAGTTGTAGCATTTGTTGAACTTATAGGTAATTGATGATGTTGATATATACTACGTAAAGCTACAGTACGATTATGTAATTCATGATTATTATTTCGAATTGTTGATGATATACCATTGGTTGTAGAAATTATTTTCTTAGTTGTAGTATTAGTTGATTTTAAACCAGTTAGATTTGTTTTATTACGATTTAAACGATGTTCTTGTAAAATTTTAATCCAATCAAAATCACTATCATTAATAAGATTATTTTCATCGAGTACACTATGAAATAATGCACGTAAATTAGTATACTAAAATAAATTATTTTTTTTAAAATTATTTATTTGAGAAAAAAGAAATATTTGTATATACATCAGGTGTTTGAGAAAATTCCATTTGACGTACAGTTTGCATATAAATAAGAAATTGATTTGCATAACCTTCACATAAAATTTCATTAGTTGTAAAACGTTTTGTTTCACCTATTTTTTGATAACGTTCTTTTAATGTATCAGCTTTTAAACCTTGCCACTAGAAGAAATAAGACATTTGTTGAACTATTAAAAGAGTTATAACGAATGATTAAAAGATACACCAAATCTAAGAGTACAAGAAATCTTGTTAAATTTTCTATGATATTTTAATAACTCGCGAACGCAAAAACAAAAAATATCAAAATGCGATGATGAAATTTTGCTTCGAAATGTATGAGTGATCTTTGTCTCTCTATGTATATTTGAATAGTCAGTGATCATTTTCATTGAAATGTCCGAATCATACACTAGTTAATCTATATGATTTAAGAGCTAACACTTTACATTTATGTCGTAGATAGAGGAGAGTCAGAATTACATTTTGATAAAAAGAAAAAGTTTTATCTCTTTTGACCTAGAAGCTATTAGCAACCTATAACAAAAGAAATGAAATGCTTATGTCTTATCCAGAAAAATAGGCCAAAATTTGTTAGACGATCAGCATTAACAATGATCAGACAGATTTAGAAATTTCTAGCTATCGTAATCGAGCTATGGTACTTAAAAGATTAATGTGAATAAATTCTGAAATAGTTTTTTTCTAATGAGCGAACTACCCAAACTGTGACTTGCTGTAAGAAAGTCTCGGCACTCATAGATAGGTCTATAACCCTTAGGATATTCTGAAATTTTCAACCGAAAAGAATGTTCTTTGATTGAGATATTGAATTTTCTCGTAAACTTGATTTTTGTGACAAGTAGGGTTCGCAGCCTAATGATACGAGAATCTCTTCAGATTGAATCATTGGTGCTCCCTCTTGAAAGATCATAGCTACGTTGATTGGGACACGTCTTGAGAGACTAGTCTATCAAGTCTTTGATAGCTACGCCGCGAAGGAAAAGATCGCGGTCGGAAGCTCATGCCTATGTCAGGAACGTTTGGGACTTTCGTGAACCGATGTTATTACTACGGTAAAAAATCGAGATCGATGGAAGAATCTGTTAAACATGCTTAAAACCTCGATCTGACAAGATCAGAGGAAATGAATATTCTTTTCGGTTGAAACTTTCAGGATATTCTAAGAGTCATTAGATCTAGCCATGAACAGCAATGTAGGTCGAAATTTCAATAAAAAGGTCATATTTCGGCTTCGAAGACTCATGGACACGAACCCTTTTCGGATTTCTCTACTTTAACACCACTATGGCCGAAGTCGCTGAAAAAGAAGTTACCAAATCTAAACAAAAAACTGCTTTGTAGTTCATTATTTAACACTACTTTTTTTTCTCCTCGGATATTCATTTTATTATGTAAATCAATAATCGTCGTTATGTAGAAAAAGAAAATCTTACATACCGGTAGATTTCCTCGTAGAAAATACATAAACATATAACCTAAAGCTTCTAAATCATCTCGACGACTTTGTTCTCGACCTAAAAAAAATTCGAACATTATTTTTTTTTTCTTTTCAATAAACAAATCAATATACCAAGGTGGGTATTAATCGACATATATCGAGCTGTACCTAAAATGCATTAGAATATTTTTTTTACAAAACAACGTATTTGAATTTGGTGTTTTTCTTTTTTATATATACCCGTCAAACTTTTATGTTCACGATATGGTATATGTGTACCATCCGATGTTCGATATTGTTTAGCTAAACCAAAATCAACCATATATATAATATGTTGACGATTTGTACTTCCACGTCCAATTAAAAAATTTTCTGGTTTAATACTAAATTTAAATAAGATTTCAAAACAAAAACAAAATTTTGTTTTTTTGTTTTCTTTACTCTCGATAAATTAAATTTTTTGAATGAACATATTCAATTCTATCTAATAATTGTAATCCAATCATTAAAACAGTTTTTAATGAAAAACGTCTTGAACATAAATCAAATAAATCTTCTAATGATGGTCCTAATAATTCCATAGCAAGTCCATTATATGAACCAATTTGTCCATAAAATTGTATATATGGTATACCATCATATTTTCCTAAGATTTTATAAAATCGATATTCATATGCTAATTGTGGTGTACGTGTTAAAATTTGTTCTAATTTAATTGCAACATATTCATGTGTTTCATTATTACGACCTAAATATATTTCACCAAAATTACCCGAACCTAAACGACGACCAATTTGATAACGTGAATTTAATGAACGATTTGTAGTCATTCTTCATTCAAATAAATATTATATGATAGAATTATATACATATAAACATCGAAAAAAAAAAAACAAAAATATTATCTCTGGTTTGTTTTTGTTTTCTTTTCTGTGTATGTCGGTGATTATAAATTGATAATAAATATGAAATAAATATTTGATATCATTATTGCAAAAGATAATAATAAAGGACGGATAAAAATGTACAAATTCTAGAAAAAAATAAATAGAAGAATTTTTTGAATGTTGTGTTTTTTCCCCATTCCCTCCCATAATTAAAACAAAATATACAATGGCCCTATAGAAGAAACAGAGAAAGTGAGTCTCCAAGAACATTTTAAGTATAAACGGTAAAATTTGGATAAGTACTCCTTTTTAATGAAGAATGTCAACAAACATTAGTTAATAAATTTTTCTTATTAAATTTATCTTAAAAATTTTATATTTTAAATAAGAAAAGGTATATGAAAAACAAAACGATTCATTGATTATTCATAATCAAAAGAGGTCGCTAATTTTTGTCTTTGATACTTCCTATCAAAATAATTGTAGATTAGTCTTATTGAATAATAAAAGTATGTAGAGTAGATACTCAAGTCAAACAGCCACGCTCGTAAATGAAAATTTACATGGTCTCCTAATGCGATCGTATATCTACTTATCGTATACAGAGGAAAAAACATACGTTCGTTTACGTCCTTCGTATACAAAAGCTGTAATTGGTCTCCGTATACGGCTACGGAAATATACAATCGTAACATGAGACCATGCAATATGACAAAATACGGTCGTATATGGAAAAAAAATAGAATGTACACGGTTGTTTGCAAGCGTATACAGAGTCCGTATTAGTTGGCCTGGATAGTGTTACAATTAATTGGATGCAATCCATTCTAACAAATACTTGAATGAATGACATTATATGATGGACAAAAGTTCTTTTTCTTTGCTTTTATTTTCAATTGTTGTATGAATAGCTTTAGATTAGCTCTCTGATGGAAGAATACGATTGTTTACAGTGAAATACGACACGTTAACGGAGCCGTATGTCTCCAGGACGATGATTACAAATGTTGAGACGGTCGTAACAGTACTGTATACTGTCGTTTCATGCACTGTACGTTCGTAAAAGGCTGCAAATTGACGTGCGGTAGACGCAATATTACAACCATACGAATAATCTTTTCGAATACAGTGAAATAGATCTGTTTACGACCGTACTTATCAGATCTGGATTCCCGTTCATACAGAGTCAGTTTTACAGTGAGAATACGATCAGTAATACTAAGCATGTTGTTACGACATAATACGGCTTAAAAACATTTGTTTACGATTAAGTTACGATGACCCCTAGCGGTTCGCCTGAGCTCTATCTAACCGTATTACCTTGGTGTTATGTGGTATCACGATTGATATTGTCTTGACTACCAGGTTATTGAAGTAAATAATTTTCGATTGTCTTTTTCCATAATATCTAAATACAAAAGATGCGTAGAATTAATACTTTGATTTTCAAAAACAAAAAATATTTCTAGTTACAGTTTGATGTCATCGTATCTGATAAATGCTGACACTGTTGCTGGTTCTTTGAATAGCATTCTGGTAATATTTACAAGGCATCCCACAAGTCATCTATCAAAAAAGAATTTGAATATTTCCATTATAATTGAATCAAATCAGCTAATTCTTTTTCTATTCTAGTGTTACAGGCGAAATCAAAGTTTTTATTTGATATGACATAAACTGACAAATTAATACTCAAAGCTATCAATCTTGATTGCGGTACAAAAATTAAATTGTTTTTTTTCCTCATCTACAAAAATATATTAAATGATAAAAGATTTTTGAGTCTATAGTTTACCCTGTAGTAAAGAAGCACTAGATTAGAACAACTTTCAAAAGATTCATGTCCTAGTGGCGTGTTAACCGACGTATTGAATTTTCTTCCCTAGGATTCAAAGAGCAAGAAAACAATTGGAAGGTCTGAAAGAGTTAAAAATAAAAATTTCGAAAAATCTATTGAAATTTAAAAATCCATAGAAACTCAAATCCGCTGTTCTCGTCAACTTTGCATATAGTTTCTTTTCGATATAAACTTTTTAAAATTCACAAAAACAAATAAAAAATATTAATAAAACATGTTCCGATAATTGCTCATATAATTTTAATTCAAAGATTGAAAATAAACAAAAATGCGTATTATATGTAAATGTCTGAATTATTAATAAATAGTTTAAACTTTAAGACAAAACAGATTCACACTATAGAATTAACATGAACATAAAATATAAACGAGTTAATGTGTTAATAGACACAGATCTATTAAAAAGAGATAATGTTAATCAATAATCATTTGATCAGCTTCATTATTATTTCCCGCACGACGAAAAGGTGGTTCGGATGCATCCATCATTGCTTTAAAATGCTAAAAAATATTCATAAACTTAAAAAAAAATTGTTTTTTTGTTTATTATTTATACTTCTGAATTTTTAAATCCGAGATAAAGTGTAAATAGAGCATGTAATGATTCAACACGAGATTCATGAACAGGAATATCAAGAAGTGCTAGAAACAAAAATTTAAAAAAAAATCTATACAACAGAAAACTTTCACATACAACATGCGATATCTGTATATGTTGCTAAATCTGCATCTATATCAGATGATGGTACTGAAGTCTAAAGAAAAAGAAAAGACATTATTATAAATCACAAAATAGTTTTAAATATTGAACCTCTTTAAGAAGTTCTTCAAACTGTGTTGGCCATTCTTGCATTAAATTATCAATATCTGGCATAGGTCTAAAAAAGAAAACCAATGATTATATTTTCATATGAAAGAAAAATTCTATTAACAATTACTTTCGATATTGCATAGTATCGACAGTCTTAGCTTTTTGTAATTTACTTATATTATGTATCCATTCTTCAATAGCTTTTGGATTTTTATCCGCATTTGTTACATTTCTTACATTCTAGAAACCAAAACAAGAAAAAATTTGAAAATTTATTGGTTCAATATTTTCAGAGATGGTCCTATCCCTGAAATTTAACAAAAATCGTCCGATCAACCTTCTCACAAAGGAAGTTTATCAACTGATTAAACGTAGGTCCTTAGCTTATTGTTGCGAAGATACTGTATTTTTATTGCATTTTCAACTCAAAGCCCTAGTCTCCCTGAAAAAACTGGTTTTCAAATTTTGACTTGAAACCTTGCATAGAGACTGACCTTAATGAGAATAACTTCTAGTAAAAACCTTAAGTGTTTCCTGATGATTCTAACGTGGACTACGGCATTCATTTAAAAAATACCGTAAAAATGCAATATCTTCGTAGTAGTAAGCTAAAGATCGGAATTCCTTTCCAGATATTCACAGTTCATTAGGGCTTATATAGTATTGACTCAAAAGCGATTAATCAGTTGGAAAACTTCCCTCGTAAGTCATTGACCACTCCTCCATAATTCTGCCGACTACGGGACATTCTTGAGTATTATTTTATTCTTACAGTTAATAAACTACTTGTAACCGGTTGTTTTGATGTATATCTCATTTGAAGACTGAGTACATGCGGATCACTTTGTTTTGATGATGGTTCATCAACAACAATAAGACCAAGATGATCTTCTTTACCATCAGGTCTAGGTACCTTGAAAAATTTAATAGTTTGTTTTTTAAAATCTTATTTTGATATATATCTATATTAATAATACAAACTTTAAGAAAAGCATCAATATCACCAATAGATGGAACATAATCTGGAATAAATGGTTTTAATTTTGTTTCAAGTTGAATATCTTGTGGTTGATATCTAAAAATTTATTTTTAAGAAATTTTACAGGTCATGAGTGATCGAAAAATTTTTCGACAAAATATTTATTCACTTCTTGACTCACTAGAAAGTATTTCCAAAGAGTGAAAAACAATGGTGAATCAACGAATTTTTGCTTACCTTATAAGTTCTTTTTGGAACAAGCTAAAAATCATCGGAGTTGGTCATTTTGTAGAACGAATGCTTCTCTACAAAATGTTAGATTGCACAAAGCTATAACTTTTACCCAAGGATTTTTTTCAAGAGCTCCTTTCAACATAAAACGCCAGTCGATTGAGATGTCTTCTTCAAAGACAAAGTGCATTCTGTATGGTAGCTTCTGATCCACAAGCTGGTATATAGATAAAAATTTCAAATTTGAAGCTTGAATCGAAAGTATAAAAATACAACAATTTTCCGTCCAAACCAATTTTTTGGATTTTTCAAAGATTATTTCACGACTTTCGAACAAAAACTGAGACAAAATTTCTAACGAGGAAACTATCCCATGTGATACTTGGAGTGATTCATTCGTAAGTCCATGTTCGAAATAGCACAAAATTCTGGCCCTAACTCATAACTTTTCTGGTAGGTCAAATGTGAAAAAACATTTTGTCTAAAAACTTTCTAATCATCGGATTAAAATAAAAAAAGAAAAATCGATAAATTACTTTTCAATATATTTAAATATATCTTTCACTTCCGCTGAAACAGGTAAATCATGATACATTTTTGGATCATAAGCATTAACATCCGATGCTTTATATTCTTTTTGTCCACCAGCTCCATTTGACATTTGTGATGATGGTGGATCAGAATCAGTTTCATCTTGTGTATCATCATTACCATGCTAAAATTTTATATATTTGAAATGAACAAATTAATATAAGATAATAAAAGATGTACTCGAGGACTAGCATCAGGAGTACCACCTCGTTGTTGACGTACAATAGGTGGTTCTCGAGAAAATTGACCCATACTTGTATTCATATGTGAATCCAGTGCTATAAAAAAAATTAATAAATAATAAAGTTTGACATTTAATATTAGAATTGTTTATTCAAATATACCTGGAACTTTTCGATTAGATGGTATAGGTGTATACATACTAGCCACTTCTTCTCCATCAGGAACCTTTAGATAAAACAAACAAATGAGAAAAAAAGAAAAGAAAAACTTTTGTAATTAATTACATCCATGGATTCATCATAGGGTTGATCTTGTATAATACGTGGCTACAAGAAATATAAAAGTTATGTTTATTTGAATCTTTTTTTATTATCTTACTTCATCTTCTTCGTCACTCATTTTTGTTTTTGCTTGTTTTATTCAATAATTATTTTAATGAGAAATTTCTATTCGTGACATACGTCTTTCTATAATACTTGGTGATACCTCTGTTTAAAAAGTAAAAGAGAGGTCACTACTAGAAAATAAAGTAAATAAATGTTTTGTTCAAAATAATTCATTATAAAATGACAAATATTATCAGTTATTTCCTGTTTTACATTGATTATAGGGCGATTCCGGTTTTTTTTCATGTTAATCTTGAAAGCCCTATGGTCATTAATTGTTTTTTTTTATTCTTCAGTTATTATGAAATTTATTTACAATTATAAGTCGAAATCGTCATTTGAATTGAATATAATTATTATCACAATTCGCCTTTATTTCAATAAGCATATGTTGCCTTTTAGTCATAAATTTTCGAGATAAAAGAAATGTACTTCTGAAAGAAAAAGGTTTTGTTTTTTGTTTTCGTGATCAATGTTCATAGCAAAATGTTCTATTTTAATTATATATTCAGTTATAGAATTATAAATCAGAAAGTTTTCTGCTTTAATTAAAGATAAGATTAATAGAATAACTTAAAATCGAGACAATATATTTCCCGGTTGAATACCATTTGGATTGTAGAGAACGGTAGTTCCAATAACAAAAACAAAAACGCAGCAAATACTTTAAATATTTACCAGAAATGATCAACAAGAGATCAATGAAAAAAAATGATATTTTATGATAAATTTATAAAAAAAAAAAAAAAAACGTTGCTTCGCTTTCAATAACACAACATATAACGATATACAACAGATGTTTTTAATAAACTACGACGTAGGTTATTTTTCTTTCATTTAGATTGTAATAAAAGGAAATTTTCATTGATTTAAAATAAAGTTTTTATTTTTACAGTTGCTTTTTTTATTAGTCCTTATTATGTCTTAGGTCAATCTTCTTAGTCATCACTTCTTAACAAAGAATTAAAAAATTTTCATTTGTTTATAAAATTACTAACGTCATGTCGTAATCATGCCATAAGCTTCTTATATATTTTTGTTTGTCAGACATGTTCGTTTTTCTTTTTAGATTCATCTCGTGACTTCCTACATCATTATTATGTTTTTTTTTAAATTGCATTCAAATGCCTACACAAATTTATTTTCTGAGTCAGAATTACGACATTCATCATAATAAAATCATTCATACGTCATATGACATTCAATTGAGATTTATTCTAGATTTAAGTGCTTTCAAATTATTTATCGTAATTGATAAGAGAAAAAAGAAATATATATATGGAAATTTTATCATATGAATAGATAATGAGCAAGTTTGTGTTATTGTTGTTGTTTTTTTGTTTTTTTTTCAATAAAAATAAATTTATTCAATTCTAAATTAATTATTTTCAATGACTAATAATACCAATAAAATATTTCAATCAATAAACATGATGACGCACGATATAAGCAAATCAAGATTATTTTTAGTATTATATGTAAAATATTATCAAACATAATTGAGAGTACTATTAACATGACCTAAAATCAATATTTTCTTTCTTTTTTGTTTCATGCACATGAAAATGCATTGCTTTTTATTAAATATCATGATAATTAGTGACAAAAACAAATTATAATAGATATATTGAGAGTCGAAAAACAAAATTGAAAATATCATTAGTTTTTAAAGCAAAAGAAAAATAAAAATCGGACGATTTTCAGAGCCAAAATGAATATAAATACGTGGAATCATATCTTTTGACTAAACGATTATAGAAAAACCACGAAAAAAAGGGGATAACATGGAATAAATTCGACACTTCGTATTAAGTGTAAACAGCAGAAAATAAAGGACATTAAAGAATCATGAATACTCATTGATATATGATTCAAAAAAGGAAAAGAAAACTTAATAGATTTAAATGAAGATATAAGAAATGAACGCATTTTATTTTTTTCATCAATTATTGAATTGTAAGAATAGGTGTATCTTCACTTGAATCTTCAAGTAACCATGGTAACATATCTTCTTCAATTTCATTTGAACAATCAGTTGCAGTAAAACGAATTGATGGTTTATTATGTCGACGTGTTTTTCGTGTAGGTTGAAATGCAGCTTTAACTGAATTCCTAAATAAAAACAAAAAATAAAAATCAGTTTTAAAATTAATTTAAATCTATTATAAATATAATTAAACATACCAAAATTGTCTCGACATAAAATAAAGTGGTTTACCAAATGGAATTCCATTGAATTCAACAGCTGCTGATATTGTATATGCACCCATATTTTTCCATAATATCCAATCGCCAATATTTAATTTAGGCATTTTAATTGATGAATGAATACAATCAAGACCATCACATGTTGGTCCCCAAATTGATGATGTAAACTTTTCATTTGATTCATTCTGTAGAAAAAAAAACAAAATGTTATAATCAATAGAAAGAATATATAAGATAATACTAACATTATCTAATAGATATGGTTCGGGTACATAGTGATCGTAAAGAACACAATTGAATGAACCATAAACGCCATCATTGATGTAGTACATATGGTTTATATCGCCTGTTTCTATTTCAAGAAAAGAAAGTTAATTAGTATATTTAATATCGTAAATCAACTAACCTGCATCAATCATTTCTCGTGATGCAATAACATTCGTAGCTAATGAATAAGCTGATGCGACATAATATCGTCCAGGTTCAGCAATAATTCGAATAGTACCATCATTAGGAAAATGTTCTTCAAGTGCTCGATTAACAGCAGTAGCAATTTCAGAAAAATAATTTTCTGTTCCAGTATTTCCTGGAAAACCACCACCAATATCCAAAAGATTCATATTAAAACCTAATTTTATTCCATAATTCATAATTGTTCGAGCATTTTGAATAGCATCAACAAATGCTTTACTTGTCATTTGACCACTACCACAATGAAAACTAAACAAAAAAATAAGAAAAAAATAAGAAAAATTTATTTCCTATTAAGATTTTTTCGTTTATTACCTAACACCAACTATATCAAGGCCATTGTCTCGAGCTTTTTCCATTAATATACGTGCTGTATTCATATCAGCACCAAATTTCATTGAAAAACGACAAACAGCATTCGAATCATCAGTAACAATACGTAAAACAAGTCTAAAAATTATACATAATGAAATAGTATAATTAAATTATTAAAAATAATTTACTTGGCATTTGGATACATTTTTTTAATTTTCATTAATTCTTGTTCATTATCAAATGTCATTGTTTCAACACCAACTTCTTGTGCATAACGAATATATGATGATTGTTTGCATGGATTAGCAAAGATAATACGATCAGCTAATATAGAATCAAAAAAAAAAAAACAAGTCAAAACAAAAATTGACTTAATAATCAGAAACTAACCTGATACACCTAAATCCATAACTTTCTTAATTTCACCCTTTAAATAAAAACAAATAATATTAATAAAAAAAAAGTCTCAAAAATTACTTTGCTTGCACAATCAAAACCAGCTCCAAGATAGGCAAGTAATTTAATAACATTTATATCATCATTACATTTAATAGCTAAAGAAAAAATCATATATATAATAGAAAACAAAAACGTTCAAGATCACTAACCATAATGTGGTATAACACGAGGCATTAAAGTTAGCCATCTAATATGTTTATTACATACATCTTCAAGATCAACGGCAAAAAATGGTTCTTCTTCACCTTTCTAAAACAAAAAACAAACTAATGTTTTATTTCTTTTCAAAATTTTAACGTGTAAACCTACAAGTAATTCAATTTTCTTTTGAATAAATTCTTCAGCTGTATGTTGTGCTTTTGTAACAATAATTGGATTGTCTTTTCCGATATGCATATTAACTTTTTGTTGAAAATTAGATTGAAAATTGGATTTGCTATTTGCACTTAATACGAAGTGTCGAAATACTTAAAATAAAATTTGAATTTTGAAAATGAAACATAAAAGATAAAGCAATAATATTTACATATGAGAGTAAAGAAAGTTGTTCAGCGGTTAGATTCCTGTGGCGGGTGCTAGCTAAGTGCACCAGGTGTCCAAGGAAATTCAGAAAGTATTGAAAGCGAGCAAACGTATTCAGAAAACCAGAAGGTTTCGGCAATAACGCCCTAATATAAAAAAAAAAAGTTTCTTTATAAAACGAATAAAAAAAATATAAAAATTTTACCGTAAGAAAAGCGCTTCGCCCTTTGTATTCGATAATAGTTTTGGACAATATTTTTGGTTGTCTTTAGAAAGACAAGTTCGATGACTTCAAATACACTTACACACACGCACAGTAAATATTCAACTGTAATATATGTGCTTTGACAAAGAAAGTTTAGTAAATTATGTAAATGATTAAATATTGGACGGCTATATGCCGAGTAATGTAATGAAAAAAGCAAGAATAACCTAAATCGAAAAAAACAAAATAACAAACACAACTCAACACATAGCTATGGTTATATACTCGTCGAATGTTTCAGTAGAAAAGAAAAAAATGAAATGTCCTCATTCTAGAATAATTATTTACGTCACTGATAAGAGATGAGTCAAACTACGAAAGAACGCATAAAAAAAAATATTGTAACATATTCTGTGGTGGTTTACTGTTATGAGAAAGACATGAGTAATGGTAGCTGAAATCCAATCATAGTTTTTTTCTTGTATTTATTATTTATTTTTCTTTTATTTCAATGAATCATATTGCTTTTTACTTCTATGGATATAAAACTAGAAAAATATTGTCTTATCGGTATAATCTTTGGTCTGTATGATAAGAAAAACAAGTGTGGAATGTATTCTTTGCCCTTTCTATTAATATTAGAAAAACCAGGGAAATGTTCTTTCAGTACATAAATAATAATAATTATGAGCAAAATATTGAATATCTTTTTTTTTCATTTATAACAAAGATGTATGATCACTCAAAGGTTCGTTCAACTTGTTCTATTTGATTTACTTCAATCAATGATCAAGATTAATTTGAATTCATCGATATTTTCTGTTTCTTTTGTGATTTTTCTTTTTGATTAATTGCAAGTAAATGGAAGAAATTCTAGTAAATATCTAATCTTGATTGAATCGAAATATGAAAAATTCAATGACAAGAAAAATATTATACTATTACCTAATCTCATTCTTTCATATATGAGCGTTGAATGGATACTGTTATGATTAAAATTCCTTTATTAAGATTATTTTCAGATACTTATTAATTTTTGTAATAATGACAGAACAGAAACGACCAGCATTTGGCTCACGTCATCTATCCGATGAACAAGATGTATTTTCTCATAATGCTTGGTAATTTATTTGGTTTGTTTTTTTATTATTATTTTAAAATAGCAAATACAAAATATTTTTCAACAAAATCAACATTGAATAATAATTTAATGAATATTTCAATAATTTCAAATGATATTAGAAAAATGTTTCTATATTTTAAAGGGATGATGTTGAATGGACTGACGAACAAAGTGAAGAAGCAAATACTATTATAGAAAAACAATATGAAAATCGAATGTCTGATACTAAATGGGGTTCGTTAAAAAATACAAAGCAGCCCAAAAGTCAATTGGCCAAAGAAAAAATTGAATATCCCCATCATAGTTTGACTAATAAATAGGTTGATTTATTTTTACGGATGATAAATGGATGTTTATAGTTTATATTCTTAAGAGAAATATTAATCCACAGCTGCTGATCTTATGTTTCGTCAAAGAGTAGCGGATGATCTCCAAGGAATTTGTCCTTTGGCGGAGTTTTGGCCGTGATATTCCATTTTTTGCCTGTAGGACTCTAATTTTTTATTACAAGCTTAATTTCTAATGTTTGACCTCAAACTGTGCATAAATCAGTCTCGTTCAGATCTTGATTACGGCAAAGTTTGAGGCCAAAAATCGAACATTAAGGTTTTAATAAAAAAGTATAGTCCTAGAGACGAAAATTTAACGTTTCAAGCAAAACTCCGCCAACGACTGAATCGTTTAGAAGTCATTATGAACAGATGGTTCACCATTATTTAGTGAAATATGAGTGCAGCAGCTGTGGATGTTTTTCATCAAAAATAATCGAGAAATATGGCATGCCTACCTCGAAGCCGATAGTGATACATAAAAGGGTTGTATGCTTCATCACCGACATCAACATCACTGAAATACAGATTATCGATAAGAAGTTCATCGAAATGCAGATCGTCGAATTCATTTCGATCATCTACTAGCTTATTAGAGTTAGCACTGAATCAAATTAGTGACTAATTTAACGTCGTTCCTAAGTAAAGCTAGTAGCTGACATGGTCAACTTGGTTCCTAACTTGATCAAGTTAGTAATTAACTTGATCTCTAACTTAATCAATTTAGTAACTAACTTGATCTCTGACTTAATCAATTTAGTAACTGACTTGATCTCTGACTTAATCAATTTAGTAACTAACTTGATCAAGGTAGTAACTAACTTGATTTCTAACTTATTGTATCACTCACTTAAGTTAGTTGTTAACTAGTCGATCCGATCATTGGCATAAAAATTGCCGATAGCCATATCGCCGACAGTGACACTGCCGAAAATACAGATAGTCGATAGTCACATTGTCGAAATGCAGTTCGCCGAAGTTCGGCGAAGAGCATACTGACCCATAAAAGTGATTGTTTTCAATATTTTCCTGAAGGATGCCTCCCTTCTTTTTGGTCATTTCTGGTTCTCGACGAGAATATAACCAATCCACATGAAATCTTTACCAGAGATAGAGCGTCTAAAATAATGAGACACATACCATAAGCATCTCCTTATCATCGGTAAAAAAAACAACTTGTTTAGTCAAACGATGAAGAAAATACTGAGTTTTTTTTTTGTTGGTTAACTGACTTTTGGTCTACTTTGTATAATTTCAATTAAATTTTTATTTAAAAATAGAAACTCTTAATTCTGATTTACCATCAGCATGGAATCGTTTTTATAATATACATGAAAATAAATTTTTTAAAGATCGTCAATGGTTATTTACTGAATATCCTGAATTATTATTTTCATCATCAAATAGAAATTCAAAACAATTATTAACAATATTAGAAGTTGGTTGTGGTGTTGGTAATTCAATATTTCCAATAATACGTACAAATAATATTAATGAAAATTCAAATATATTTCTTTATTGTTGTGATTATTCATCAACAGCTATTGATATATTAAAACAAAATATTGATTATAATACAAAATATTGTCATGCATTTGTATATGATATAACAAGTTTAAATCCAATGCCATTTGAAGAAAATTCACTTGATTTTATATTAATGATATTTGTATTAAGTGCAATACATCCATCACAACATGAACAAGTTATAAAAAATCTTATTAAATATCTTAAACCTGGTCATGGTAAATTATTATTTCGTGATTATGGTTTATATGATATGGCACAATTAAGATTTAAAAATGATAAATGTATTGAAAAAAATCTTTATGCAAGATCTGATGGAACATTAACATATTTTTTTCAACAAGGTATGAATAAAAATCTTTTTTTTTCTACTAGAGAAAAAAAATTTATTTAATTTAAGATGAACTTGATCAACTTTTTACTCGAAATGGTCTTGTAAAAGAACAAAATCTAATTGATCGAAGATTACAAGTTAATCGTTCAAAACAATTAAAAATGTATCGAATTTGGTTACAATGCAAATATATTAAAGCATAAAACAATTGTTTTATTTTTTGTTACTGTTTTTTTTTCGTTATAAAAAGAAAAGAAATACGTTCCACTTGTTAATTTATTACAGAGAATATTTATTATTCATACAGCTGCAATTTATGGGTTTTTTTTTTCGAAAAAAAAAACGAACAAGTATATATTTTTTATTAATATAACAATACAATATGTAATGAAAGAATAGAACAGATCAATGAAAGTTTTATTGAAATAAGCCGAAAAAAGACGAAGAATAAAGCAAGAAAAAAAGAATAATTGAAGAATGTTCTATTTATTTTTATTTCAAAACGCAAAGTTATTTAGTTCGTACTTTTGTGGTCTACAAAATCATATTTTCAAGTACCCTTAAATATGAAGAGTAACAATCTTAACTTCCATACGAAATTAAAGAACGACGTTTTTTTTTGTATTTCATTATGTAAGGTTAAACAAATATATAGGGTGTCTAGTAAGTCATGAAACAGATACACTAAAAAGTGAATATCTCCATTATAGTTCGACCAAACGGGGTCATTTTTTTACCAAAGATAGAGACATATTCACGCTCCAAATTCATATGGATAAGGTCAGTGAGAACCTCTGTTAAATATCACTATTGACCTCAACAAGAATATTTTACTTGTTCACAGATAGGAAAAGAAAACAATATGCTCATCATAGGTTCTCACTAATCTCGCCCATATGGATTTGGAGTGTGAATATGCCTTTATCTTTGGTAAAAAAAAGAGCTTGTTTGCTCGAGCCATAATGGAGATATTCAATTTTTAGTGTGTCTGTTTTATGACTTACTGGACATCCTATAGCAATGAAAAACGTGTAGGTCACAGCGGTGACACAACGCAATTAGGAGAGTAGATTTGTTTGGAGCAATTCGGTAGCGAACTGTAAAAAAAAACAGTTCTTGTTTTTATTATATTAAAAGAAACTTATTTAAATAAAAAGACTTCATGTAAAAGTTACCGGGAAAATGTACTGTTTGATAGAGCATATAAAATCTAATTGAAACTTTAATTATGACTAAACTTAGAATT